GTGTGGGGGAGGAGAGATTTCCTCCCCCCCCCCCCCGCTTCCCCGGGAATATTTTGGGTAAAAAATGAAAGCGTGTCAAATGGTAAGTAGTGCAAGAATGAAACATCATAAACTGTTTATTAGGAGAAAATGATGTAGATATAAAAATGTGAATATGGCTGAGTGGATCAACTGGCTAGTAAACTAAATAGCTCAATTTGAAATGCTTCATATATATATATATATATATATATATATATATATATATATATATATATATATATATATATATATATATATATATATATATATATATATATATATATATATATATATATATATATATATATATATATATATATATATATATATATATATATATATATATATATATATATATATATATATATATATATATATATATATATATATAAATAAAAAATTAGATAACTAGGTTTAGAATTTGTCACTCAAGTATACAGTACAGAAAGCTGCAGTAAGAGACATCAAGAATGCCCTTTGCCTCTGAATGTCCTTTCTTATTTTGTTATATTATACATGCCTCTTATTTTGAAAGATCATGGCCACAAACCATAAAGGTGATGGCATAGGTCTATTCCCTATTTTACTTCACCATAACTCAGCTTTTCCAAGGGAATCCCATTCTATACTTGTTTCCTCACACACACATTGAGCCAGTGAGTTCAATGAGGCTTACTCCAAAATTAAGTGCACTCTAAGCAGTCTTAGTGTTTTTGGTAACTTGATTTAAATCAATTTTTGGCTATTTAAATTGATTTAAATCAATTTGCCCTGAAATTAACACTTCAAGAATCCCCTGGATGTAACTCAGAAGAATGCATTTATTAGCAACCTTTTGTTTTTTAAAGCTACAAATCAAGAAATAGGTCTCTTCAGTGCTAGACTTGCTTTACAAACATACATTTTGCAATATGCCGATGGGAGACTTTGCTTCAGTAATGAAATTGTTCAGTCAACTGCAAAACATCCCCCTAAACACTTGCACTGCTGGTTAATCGGAAATCAAAATAAAATAGCTATAGAATAACGTGTTTCTCTTAAACAGTATTTGTCACATGTTGAGTAAGAGCATCAAGGCTGTTTCCAAATCCACCATCTACTTAATTAAGGAACCTTGCCCACTCAATAGCCGACTACTCTGTAAAACTGAGCACTTTAATTACAACAGACCTCATAGCATTTAGCCATGTGGTTTCTTTGTGATGTGTTCTCAAATCTCCCTAATTCTCAAAAAAAGAAAACAATCAATGTGAGGCCTGTAAAAACCCAAAGTCATTCAGTTTCAATAACCCAAGGTTACAATTAGCCTCCAGCCCACTACAAAGCCTCACTCCACATTTATTAAGCACAAAACAAATACAATACTGTCAGTTCTTCTTGTAAAGGGATATTTCTCATATAGGGGAAGACAAAAGGTTATTTCAATCTCTGTAATGCTCATTTTTATTTGACACTTTCTTTACAATTCAACTAATCTTTCAGTTCCTTTCTCTTGTGATGTCTCTAAAAGAACCATAAACAGGCTACTTAGAGACCTAGGAACACATTTCGTAACTAAAAGTTATACATAGGAGATCTCCTAATACAGGTTGGAGCTCTATAGTCCAGCACCTTTTGGGACCGGACCAGTCTTGAATGAGGGAATCTGTCAGACCAGGGGAGGTCCCCTACTACCAGTCCCTCAATCCACAACCCCTCCCCATTGCCGGCCCCAACCACCACCACCACCCACCCCAGACAGGCTGCTGTACTGCTGAAGCCCTGGCAGTCCAGGCTGCCATGACCCCAGCTACGCTCCCAGGGCTTCAGCCTCGGTCCCAGTCTCAGCCCCAACCCCGTCGGGTTTCTAACCATGACCCGTGGTCCAGCAGGACCACAGATGTTCCTGGACCACAGAATCCTGGTTTTGTGAGGTCCAACCTGTACACTCTTTGCTTGCTGCTACAAGCAAAGACACCTCTGTGAATGAGACTCTGCATCAGGGGTGGGCAATAATTTTTGACCAGGGACCACTTCAGAAATTTTGTAAGTGCCCTGAGCCTCAGGCAGAAGGGGCAGGGCTTCAGGAGGAAGGGGAGGGGCCAAGACACTTCTGATTGGTCTGGGGGCAAGGGAGCATGTGGGCGAGGAAGCACGTGAAGTCTGTCCTCATCACACACCCCCCACCAAGAGAACCATCAGCTGTTCGGAAAAGCTGGGGGTTCCCTCTAGGTGCCTGTGCCCTTGGTGGTGGGAAGAAACTTTGCACACTTCCCCCCGCCTCCTGGGCAATCAGGGCTTGGGGGCAAGAGGG